TCTCAGCCTCTTCAGTTTTTTCAATGCGGGGAAACAGTCAAATCCGGAGAAAGTTTATAAATAAGTGGAGGAGCATCTCGGATCAGGTCTGACCGTTTTTCTTTTGTCCTTCCCTTTAAAAGAGACGACCAGTCGATCAACACCGTGTGCTACAGCAGATAAAAGCAAAACGAAAAGCAAAATAAAAAATAAAAGCAATGCAAGACTTGAGAAAAAGACAACTACAAGTTGGACAGTACAGGTAAGTCTAGTTAGGCCTGTCACGATAACTCATTTTGCTGGGCGATTAATTGTCTCTGAAATTATTGCGCTAAACGATATTGTTTGAAGTTTGACAATAATTAGTAATTATTGTCAAATTTAAGAAGAAATTATTTGTTTTGAATGTAGTCACTTTTTTCCACCACCGGATGGCAGTATAAGACCATTTGAACTGAAGGATGGATAGTGAGGGAACAAGCAACGTGTCTCTTGGAAAAATGGGAGGGAGGCCCCTTGACGTGACATGGGCTGTCTCTCCTTTCTTATTTTCCGGTTTTCAAAATGGTGGACGCTCAGTGTGGTCTGAGCTCTTTAGCATAGCATTTTTCACACAAAGCTTTTAATTTAAAAAAAAAACCAGTAAACAAGTTCTCAGCTTCTTTTTGCAAAGAAAAAGCTTTTTACACGAAGGCACGGGTTTCAACCGTGAATTTTGGAGCTTCAACAAGACGGAGTTTTTTTCCCCCTCAAGGTCGGCCTGTTAGCTTAGCTCGTAGCTTAGCTTCTCAGCTTGGCTGCTTTGAGCGATCCAAAAAGCGATCTTGGACGTTAAAACGGATTTTAAAGAGAAAGGGAGGGGTCAGTGAGGAGCACCGGAGTTGAGCCTTTTGTCATCCAGTGTCTTCAGTAGAAAGAGAGAGACGCGAAGAAACGCGACAGGCCTAGTGTATGTGTACAATTTTTATTATTTTTTTAATTAGTAGTCGCGGCTTATATTCGGGTACGCTCAATAGTCTGGGAATTACGGTAGAATGTTTGACGAAACGGTTCTAACATGAGATAATCTTAGTCTAACTCTGGTGTGAAAGGTGCCGGGCGATACGCATTCCTTCAAGGAACCTAAACTGTGGTTGTACTTTTCCTGAGCGAGTGCTACCTCTGATTTATATCCAGCCTCTAAGAAAACGTGCAGAGCGAAAGATTTTTGTCTCGACAAGTTGTCGTTTCGTCCGTCAGGTAGATCCGAACAAGAACACTCGCAGATGAAAGCTCCTGAACATCCGCCTGCTCCTGACGACGAGCAGCTCTTTGTCATCATCACAGCCGCCCTTTAGTTTAATTACTTTCTGTCTCGTGTCCGTCTCTTTTTGTTTCCTTTGACGGCGCGCGGTAAACCAGAGGCAGCTTAGCGCTTCAGCGGGTTTGTGAAGTGTCGGGGAGGTAAACAGTCTTTTGATTTCCGTAAGGAATTCCACTTGAAGCTGTCGAAAAATGACGTTCAGGTCCTTTGTGGTTTTGATTTGGACCTTGTTGAATCTAGACTGACGGATTCATTCAGCTCTGATTGTGTTGGCCGCCGTGTGTGCGTGAGCACCGTGCACTTGGATGAGTCATCCAACACTCGTGAAGTAACAGAACATACTGTATTGGCTGGACAGAAATAGCCTCTGGATAGAAACAGTATAGATGATTTTCTTGGTCTCCCTTTATCTTCCTGCAGCCTTCTGCTTTTTCTCTCATGTGCTGATCACTTTTTATTATACGCCCGTTGAAAGACGGACGTATAATATGGTGTAGTCTCGGTCCATACATAAACCTCTTCTCTGGACATTAACTTCTGATATGCTCAAGATAATTTAACTAAACTTCATGTGCATTTGTACCATCACTAGATGGCGTGTAGCGAGATCTCTTCATCACCTCAGCTTCCAGCTCAAGGTCACAAATTAAGGTCAAATGTTTTACAAAGTCTTGCTTGTCTTGTGAACAACTTCTGATTCTCAACATAATTAAACGAAACTCGATACACATTTATAACACTATTAGACAGCATGTCTCATGATCTTTTCATCGCCCCATCTCTAAGGTCAAGGTCATAAGTCAAGGTCAAAGTTAAAACAAGATCTTTGCTTGTCTGACCATAACTTCTGATACATTCAAGATGATTTAACAAAACCTGGACACGTTTGACCACTTCTAGAAAGCATATTATGTAATCTTTTCATCGCCCCAGCTCTAAGGTCAAGGTCACAAATCAAGGTCAAAATTAAAACGAGATCTTTACTTGTCTGGTGAACAACTTCTGATTCTCAACATAATTTAACGAAACTCGATACATATTTATAACACTATTAGACAGCATGTCTCATAATCTTTTCATCGCCCCAGCTCTAAGGTCAAGGTCGTAAATCAAGGTCAACTTTAAAACAAGGTCTTTGTTTGGCGCATAACTTCTGATTTGCTCAATATAATTTAACAAAATGTAATACATGTTTATAACACTATTAGACAGCATGTCTCAATCTTTTCATCGCCCTAGCTCTAAGGTCAAGGTCATAAATCAAGGTCAAAGTCAAAACAAGGTCTTTGCTTGTCTGACCATAACTTCTGATCCATACAAGGTGATTTAACAAAACTGGATTCACGTTTGACCCCTACTAGACAGCATGTTATGTAATCTTTTCATCTCCCCATCTCTAAGGTCAAGGTCGCAAATCAAGGTCAGTGGTCACACCAGGTCTTTAATTTGTTGACGGGTGTATAGCGTGCCGTATACAGTCATCTTGTTTCTCCTTGAGATTTGGAGCACAGGAAACCTTTTCTCCGTTTCGTTCTCATGATGGCATCATGAATCCCCCACATGCACAGAACTGTGTCACTTTTGCACCAACCAGAAATCTGCTTGAGGGCTGCACAAGTCCCGCCTCCATCCACGCTTCTCCCTCTCTGCTCCACATACAGACATCAGCATCACCCGCCATCTTTCTCTGACTGTAGCTCGTGGTGTCTCTTCCCATCACATCACATTTTTCCCTCCTCTCATTCCTCAGTCTTCATCTCCGTGTCCGTTTCTCCCTTTCTTAAATTCACAATCCTCCGTCCTCTTGCTCCGTTTTTCTGTAGGACTTAATCAAACCTGACAGTCTTTAGTGTTTTCTGCACCAGCGGGTTTAACTGCAGCGCTGCAGATCATCCTGAACACTCGGTTTAACTTCCACGCCTTGACTTGGAGACACTTGCCATCAAAGGGCTACCGATGAGTCGGGAGAGTAAATTTAACACAAATTTCTATGACGGGATGGACTTGAACTTTATCAGACACTGAAGGGAGGTTTAAACAAAAAGGCCAAGCAGAATAAATCAATTAATGCAGCCCTAATCCAGTTGTCTTAATGGTTAGCAGTTCTTTACTTTCAATCCCTGATAAAATCTTAATGGATGTTGAGCTATACAAAAACTAGAGAAAGTAGATTTCCTGTAAAAATGCAGTGTGAACAAACAGCTGAAATTAGTTTGAATAAAAACCATGCTGAAATGTAGCTCAAGTGGAAGAACAAGTCTAAATTAGCAGAAGAAAGCAGAAAGAACACATATTTGTTGAATTAGGTTTAAATAAACCAAAATTAGTACAAAAATTAGTAAATTAGCTTTAAAAAAAAAAAAGCTTAAATTGGCAAAAAATGGCTGAAAAGTAGCTGAAAGGCCGAAAGAAGCTTAAACTAAGAGGAGGAAGCGGAAAGAGATGAAATGAGCTAAAAAAAAATGTGGAATTCACTGAAAAAGCTTAAATGAGAATAAAGAGCTAAATAGTAGTCGAAATAGCAGACAAAGCTGAAATTAGCATAATGAAAGAACAAGCTGAAATTATCAGAAATAATTTAATTAGGCTGGAAGTAGCAGAAATTACCACACACACAAAATATTTTTTATGAAAACAGCTGAAATTAGCTAGAAAATGCTAAAAGGCTAGCTGCAAAGGTAGAACAAGCTTAAATTAGCAGAAGAAAGCAGAAAAAAAACATGTTTGCCCTATTAGCGCGACAGAAGCAGAAATGAGCACAAAAAGTCTAAATTATCTGATAAAAGCTGAAATTAGCCAAAAAAGAAAAACTCTAGAAAAGTAGCTAAGAAAGCAGAAAGGAGCTTAAGTTACTCCAAGGAAGTGGAGAGAGCGCAGTTTTTGCTGAATTAAGCGGAAAACGGTTGAAATTAGTGCAAACGATGTGGAATTAGCTGAAAAACCTAAAATTAGCACACACACAAAAAGCAGTTAAGTAGCAGCTGAAATAGCAGAAAAAGCTGAAACGTATAAATAAGCTGAAAGGAGCATAACAAGCTGAAATTAGCAGGAAGGAGTTAGAAGAAGCACAAAAATTTTGTAGTTAGCAGAAAGAATCTGAAAGGAGCACAAAACAGCTGAAAACAATTCCAGCTGAAAGTAGCTGAAAAATGTTTTACACTTGCAGAAGGAAGTTGAAAGCAGCTGAACCAGAACAAAATGTGAGAGGAGCAGGAAAAGGTTGTAAACAGATCTAAAGATCTGAAGGATGGAAAATGAGCTCAATTCATTTTCTATGGAAAAAAAAAAAAAAGTCAGAAAAGGCTAAATATTTCAACCAGCTAAAGTTGCACCAATACCCAAAAGCAGGATTGTTCTGAAAGAGCTGAATGTTTTGATTTGATTTGTTGAAACAGCTGAAAACTGTGGGACAAGAATGGTGCTGAAAAATGGATCACAACGGAGTGAATGCTTCGTCAACATTCACACATTCATACAGTGAAACGCAGAGCCAGTGGTTAATTTGAGCCGGATCCTGCACACGGAACAAGATCCGGGAACTCTTTCATTTTGACCCGTTCTGTTCCGGCACCAATCCACTTACAAATTAAGCCCACGCGCCACGCTGTATTTGAACATAAAGATTTGAGGTGTTTTTCTTTGCCTTTAAATGAGTGATTCTCGTAAAACGCAGGACTGATTCTGTTGCTCACTCACAGCTCGCTGTATGTTTTTCCAGCTCTCGCCAACAGACAAGAGTTTGGAGTTCGACAGAGACTTTCGCATCAGACACTACGCAGGAGATGTGATGTAAGTTCCTTAAAGGTTTCTTCATTCTGATGATTCATCGTCTTTGTCCGCACACAAAACCGTCCTTCAGACACTGAGAGAAGCTACAGTGGAGTGTTCTCAGGAACAGATGGAGGTTCTTAAAGAAACGCCTCTCATTTTGTTTTTAATTAGAATTGATCCAAATCACCCAGTTTCAAACAAAAATAAATGATCTCCACCTGGTCCAACATCTTAATTTCTGTATTTTACATCATCCAGGAGGTGACAAAACTGAAATGAGTCTCAATCAAGATCCGTTATATTGATTCAAGTCTTTTAACATTAAGATTTACTGATGCTGGGCCTTAATCTGAAACGTTTTACAGCCCAGACTTGCAGATTACAGATTAAACGAGGTCCGAGTACATTAAATAAAATCCACGCCCTCATCTTCTTGACTTCTCCATAGCTCTACACTGAAGTAAAGAAAATCTGGGTTTATTTTCTCCTGTTTTTATTTATTTTTATTGCAAGCAAGAAAAAATACTGTAATTCTGTTTAATTTCCACATCTTGTAAAAAGTATAAATTAAACTGAAACGTATTCGTGCATGCACTGAATGTGCTGAGGGAGCCGACACGGACAAACGTCTGAACTCCAGATGTTTGCTGTGAAGCTAAAAGCATCACACCTGATGACACACTCCACAGGTGATCAGGAAACTTTTTAGGCTACGTTCTCACTTTAGGTCTCAAGGATTAATCCTGATTTATATTTTATTTTTTTACTTGGATCCGATTTCTTTTGTGTGGTTGTCACGTTCTGATTAAACTCCGCCTCCGTCAGACTGAACAGTCCGCGGCCCTGAAGCGACCTGCAGAAGATGACGTGACGCCATACGCAGCACACCGTGCATCGATTCTAACGTTGTTGTGCGATCCAAGACCATTAAATTATCAGCTGCTGGGCTAATATACACATCCGTCTTCTTTATTTGATCTTACCTCTGGCACGGGCACAGAACTGCACATCTGGAGCAGGAGCGATGTGTTGAAGGTAGAAACAGACTCGCGTATCAACCCCGTCACGTTAGTATGGATGCGATGCCACACCAGCGTTGATGTCACGTGTTGCTGTAGATTCTCAGTCATCCAGGATGTGACAAAGATAAAAAATAAAGAGGAAGCAGCTGGACTTGTGTAGCTGAAGACATGTGGAGCTCCAAGCTTTACACTGCATGACGTTGGTAACAATATTGATATTACATACGGGTCAAATATGGACAAAACAATAATATTTCAGCTGCATTGTGAAGAAATCATCCTATAGCTCAGGAAGAGCTGTGTGCATGTGCAGTGACAGGAGAGTTGGACTTATTGTGTCCCCAACAGCTCCACCACAACCAGGGTGGGTCCTCCAGAGAAAGACACCGTGTAGCTTCCAGTAAAAACTTATTTCCCTTTAATTTAATCTAAAGTGTGTTTCTCCATGTTTGCTTTGAGTTGTGAGCTCGTTGAACTCGGCCATGTGCTTGGATTTTAAATTAATTAAATCGGGGAGAAATACAGTAGTCGATTCCTCGCGGTACGTTTTTCGCGGACTCACTCTATCGCGGTTTTTCAAAATAAGATTGAACATGACACACAATTGGCTGATTGACGGATGAGCCGCGCGATGAGCATGGAATTTTTATTTAAAATAAATTGTTTTAAATCATTTAGCACCTTCTGCACCTCTGATAAACTTCCGGCTGCAGCTGATCAGCTGTTCTCCGTGCAGAGCAGAGAAGTGGGCGTGGCCAAGAGCGCTGGCTGAGAGCAGCCGAGGCAGAGAGAGCTGAAATCATGACATGCTGTGCTCTTTTAGAGCGTTTAGAGTTTAGAAACATTGTTTAGAATATTGCAAGTTTAAGGGTTTAAATCACCTTTTATATACAGACCCTTTCCAAAAAATTAGAATATCATGGAAAAGTTGTTTAACTTCCATAATTCCATTCAAAAAGTTAATGTTTAATAGATGATAG